GTGATATTCCTTGTTCATTTTTCGGTCTTTGTATACCTTTTAATGGGTGTGTTTAATCAGTTTTTGTTAAGTTGATTCTCATTTCTTCCTTACTGATTATATAAGACCGAAATACTCTGTCTTTACTGACATGTTGGCTTTTAGTACGACAACTTTGATGACGTCTAATGATTAATGCGACATCACATGGTTGATGTTGGCTGGAGGTGGAATCCTCATTGCACAGTTTTTCCCACCTGGAATCCAGGATCGGTATATGTCTGCTCCTTAGTAAGTGATAATTACCCTACGGAGATTCAAAACCAGCACCCATCATTTCAACCTTAAATAACATCATGTTAATCTCCAGGCAGAGTTGAATGATCCTCACCAGGAGACAACATTTCAATAGAGGTCGAGCATTTACGTCCAGTACAGTCGAACAACAAAAAGTATAAATTAACTTAAACAATGGTGGTCTACAAGCTCGCCTTGTAACCAGAAGGTCCTGGGTTCGGACCCCGGTGAGTGTGTACTGCTGAACAGTCCCACACTAGGAAGTGGTAACTGTCCAGTACTCCCAGGTTTTCCAAGAGTTCTGTAACTGATGTCAGCTCATGATGAAATTCTCCAACCAATAATAACTGACACCGATTGCACAAAAGGTAGCTCCATGACCAAGTGAATAAAGATTTGACTTCGAGTCCCAATGGAAACGTCATCGCTCACTGCGAATACAGGTACATACGTTTGATAAGTGTTTAACAGGATGAAATGTCCATCTGGGATACTTCTGCTTGCCACAATCAAACAAATAAAAGTCATTACACACATATTTTGATATTCTTCATTATTTGTTGTCGTCAGTCATGCTTTAAATCTACAAGAAATCTTTCAAAAACCAAATAGTCTGACAATTAACCGGTAGGTTAATTCTTGAAAAGGTTTCTCTGATGGGGAAGATATCTGTTTTTCACCCATGATACAAATCAATGATATATTTTACTTAATTACATGTACGATAATTTCATCCAGTCGAAAACTGCATATGTATTTGTTTACATATACACATATATAAAAATATATGATTTCCGGTTGCGGATATAAAATACTGCAGTGTAAATCTCCTAACTAATCTATCGTAATCACAAAGTAATCAACTGTATTGATTCAGTTAGTCGCTTATTAAGTTCACTTTTAATTACACTCTATATATATATACATTGTTATCAATATTTGATTGACTACCATTCTGTTAAGTTCACTTTAATATTGAATATCATAATAATTATTAATATTGATTGTATTAATAAAGAATTGCATCATCAAATGATGTGATATCTAATGACTAGAAGCGATTATGTTTCACTACAGTTTAAGGTTTGTCGTAAAACCAAAAAATTGATGTTTTAGGCTTCCTTTTAGACTATCCCGAAAACTTGAACTCCATGCTAACTATAATTTCAATTCATTTGACCCTTTTATAATGGTTTCTTCAACATATAAACACTATTTAGACTATAAAATTAAAACTCCTCCATATCACCCTCGTACTGACGACCAACTCGTTGCTTCCCATTGCGGTTCCACTCGAGCAATGGCCCTACATTGTGCGCGATGTCATTTAACGGCTTCTTCAATATATGCCAGATCCAGATCCATTTTCTCCTACATATTTGTTGAACAATGGGTTCCTGGTTGGTTTGTTGCCAACCAGAGTTTATTGTTGCCAATTCTTTCTGGCTGATCACTTGACCTTCAGTATACAGCCAGCCAGCGAAGATGGCAGCTGTTGACAAAAGTCTAAAACCTGTTGGAAATTCTTGTAGTGACTGTAGTGCGCAGCACAAGTTTCTGACCCATACTGAACAACTGTCTGACTTAACATGTGTGTGGAAAATCCCAATCTTGTTCTTTGTGCTGATTGCAGTGCAGAAGATTTCCAAATTGGTTTCAGGTTGATGATGGCGTATCTCGCCTTCTCGATTCTGGCCTCCTTTGACACCTTCATCCATTCTGGCTGTCTTTGGTTGAAACAATGCTGGCTGCTTAGACCAGTGAAGGCAGGAAGCAACCTCTGTTAAACCCTCCCGTTGATGGTGATTCGTGCTCATTGTTGCTGTCGTCATCGGTTGATTATTTTCATCGCCTCCATCTTCTCTATGTTCACCTGGAGTCTTGTCCTCACTGGTTGCTTCTTCATCTAGTTTATTGCTTTTTCGTCTGGAAGTCTTCCATTTTGTGTGACACTAAACATTAATCATCCACGCACGAAATCCAGATCTTCTAGAGTCTTCTTATTGGTGGTTCAGCGTATTTCTGTCTTCTCACTCCCCTCACACGGTCTGACGCATAATCGAGTTCACCTCAGTTAAGAACATCACCAGTGATAATAGGCGGCCAGCTTGTCTTACTCCTGTATTCACTTCGAACGCCTCACTGAGTTTTCTGTTGTAGAACGCCTGACGCATAGCATCTTCATACAGCCGGCTGTTGAATGAAGTTTATAAAGACTTGAGGCACTGTTCGCCGTAATGGTGAAGTAGTGTCCAAATTACTTCTTCGTCAACGCTATCTGTCGAAGGCCTTTTCGAGGTAAATAAAGTTAAGGTAGAGGTTTGGCTGCCATTCTTTGCTAGTGAAAATTAATCTGCTGCGACTGAATACCAGATTAAACTGCTTATAGCTCTTAAGATTAGTCACAACGATCAGGGTTCATCAAGTCAAATGTGAAGAAAACGACCCGCCGATAACACTGGCTGGTGGTTGCACTAAATATCGGAATTTGCCAGAATTTAGAATTTATGGATAATTGAATTCTGAATGAATGTTTGAATGACTGTCCCATTAACCTGAAGATCTTAGGTTCGGTTTCTATTAGGGTAATCAATGGATGCGTTATAATTGTAATGAAACTGCTAACTTTCAGTAATTAGGCACGAACTGGCTGACAAGATGCGGAAGAAATAAAATGAATCCATTTTTACTCCGCTACGTGTCTTTATTTGTTTAGATTCATTACATAGGTAACTGGCTTATGATATCCCCTTTTTACCTGAAGATAACTGTTTTGGAAAAACTGTGTCAGATGTTAAAGCTTCTTTACTGATAAATTTTCAACCTATTTTGATATGCTGTGTGTAAATGCCTTCATCAGTTGTGCTTCATTATATGTATAGCTCATGTGTACAGAAAATTATTGCAGTTTCTACAAATATATTTATTAAATATGTTTCTTGATATATTCTGAAAGGAGCGAGAAGACGTCGATTCCTTTGAAGTCACAGACTTCCTTGTGGACAACTGCGAACAAGTACGAAGACTAGATTCAGGGCTTCTTTCTGATTGCCTCGAGTCATATGATATCAAGGAGCGTTTGTTGCGCACTCATCCGATTACAACCGATAACATTACCTCACACACTTGTTTTTATTCAATTTCAACCTCCCCGTTGACTGATTGGGGTGACCTATTCCGCCTCTGTTCCCATTTCGACTCCTAGCACGGAGGCTTCAACGATGTCTGAGGATTAACTTGAAGTAATTTGGTGAATGGTGACGAACAGCAGAATCCAGGATGCGCGTTTCATCTTATTCATAACTCGTTAGCTGTATACACCCATATCCCCCAGTGAGTGGTGGTCTTTCCATTGAAACCTGAACCCACTACCCATCATTTTAAACGCCAAAGCGTTTTCCACTAGACCACTTGGGTCAAGAGAGCCACCTCTTGTGTAACTGTCATTATTTATTACTTGTTTTTAATTCACCTTTGACTTTCTCGTTGGTTGATTGGACCGAAATGTGGCATTTGAAAGGAGGGGTACTGGGTTCGAGTCTCAATGAGAATAGCATCACTCATTGGGAATGCAAGTACCTCCTGGTGACGAGTTCCAAGTAGGACGAAATGCGTATCACGGATTCCTCTGTTAGTTGCTATCCACCAAATTATTATCGGGCATATCTTTATTAATGATATTAGCACATTCGTAATACGCTTCTGTGGAAGAGAAGATGCGTTCTGTATGATGAATATGATACTTTCTCCCGACTTCATGTAAACTGTAAGAAACTGAAATTCTTTAAAACCACTTCCACATTCTCTTAATTATCTAGTAGAATATTATTTTAGTTTCTGTAACATAATATTTGTGTGTTTCCTAGTTTTGTCATTTTTAATTTATCAGAGTGAATTATTTCCATTTATTTCTAATGGACTGTTGGCATCCATCAGTAGCTGCCTTTGCACGATACTGAATGCTAGATAGCTGGCCAGAGATGATAACCAGATAGCCAGAACCAGCAGAAAACTTTTGAGTTGCCCAAAAGATATTTAGAACTAAAATGAAGATGGATCAGAAATATTTCGAAGAGATATTTAAACAACATCACACGCCCGAGGAACTCGAATGGGCGGCGACGGGTTGGACATGGGTTCGAAGCTGACGTGAAGGAGATGATGTGAGAAGATAATAAAACCTTGTGGGCAGTTTATGGAAATATTTAAAAGTGATGACGGATAAATAAGTGGAATCGAGACCTGCTATTGAAGGTGTATGTCCGCATCAAAACACCTGAAGTGAATTACAGTAAAAGTAAAGTGAATTATTTGAGACGTTACACGTTAATTACCAGTCTCTGTTAGAACGCTGTAATTATTTCAAATGCACGTAACAGCACCCAGTCTGTTCACCAAGTAAAAATAGCATTTCATTATGTGTATGATCCGACTGACTGACTGAAATGTCTAAAGATGTTTTCTTTTTTCCAATCTAATTTTCAAAAACACCGCTGTAATATTTCGCGCTTATACTAACTGTATGATGGCGTAAACTACTGATAGATTGATAAAAGTAGTTGGATTGCAGCTACATCAACCGGAAGGGCATGCTAGTCAGAACGAAGTGATTCAGTATATTAACTGTGTATACAAAATTTCTTAAAGTCACGATTAGACCTTTTTTCAAAATACGAATTGTATTTATATCTTTAAAGAGAATAACATTAAATAAAATAACATACCTTTTAAGACACTCTTTTCATTGGTAGGTTCAACTGGCTGAATATTAGTCAAGGAACTTGCTACCTGAAGTATTGAAGTGTCTTGCGAAATTGTTGTTGTTGCTGCTGTTGTCGTTGTTGTTGTTTCACTTTCATGTATCTTTTCCATGATTACTGAATTTGGGAGTGTTGATTCAATAGGAATTTCAGTAATTGAATTTTCTGATTCGAATGAACTTGATGTAAATTCTTCTGTAGTATTTGATTTGACTTCAGTTTCATTCATGAGCTTTTTTAATTCACTTTGTTGCCCATACACTGTGTCATTGGTGCCATCATTCATATCAGCAAGGGATTCCATAATATTTTCGCTTACTTCAGCTTTACTACTTAAAGCTTGAGCTGGTTGGTCATTTAATTCCGGAATGATTGACTTGTCACTCGTATTATTATTATTTTCAGACAGATTTTCGATGTTCAACGTTGTTGTAATCTCAGTGGAGGGATATGTAAATATCTGTTCACTAGAAGCTTCAGATGAAGAATATTCATCTTTTTCATCACCACTAGAAGATATGCTTGGATTTTTATCTAGATCGATCCTCTCTGTAATGACGAAGACTCCATCCTCGTCATCACCAAGTGTACTTAATGTTACATTTTGAGTTTCGCCTTCTATTTGATTGTCTTCGGAATTTTCTTTGGCATTTGCGGCTCTTGATATTTTAAGTAAACCAAATAGTCTTAGTAGATAGTTTGTATTACCATATAAACGGAAAAGTACATTTTATATGGCAATTTTTTTTCTTTCCTTCACGTTCCTCATTGGAACATAGGGCTTCAAGCTAGTGGCTTGAAGTTTCGGTAGCAGTGTTTATTTTACAGGATGGGGTCGCTAGCCTCATGTCCAACCTTTCCTCTTTACCAGTATTATTTCTGGCTTATTTCTGGGTCGGCCGGGGGTCGGACCCTGGACCATGTGCATGATTGGCGAGCATGCTAACCGTTATGCCACCGACGCAATATATGGTAATATTTGATTGTAATTTGTATCTATTAGCCAGATGTGTCTGTAGCTAAGAGAAGTTTTATGTGCTCTTCTATCATATCCTTCGTTTAACGAACAAGTGGTTTTAAAATTGAGGTAAGTGAAGCATTCATGAGTAGTTTCACCCTTATCTCTAACCATGAATAATCTCTATCAAAAAGATATCTTCTACTGTAGCAAAAAGAGCACACTTTAGTTTAGATTTGTGAAAACATGCCACTAGTGACAAACGTAGTATTCTCTAAACTACAGTTCACATAAACGCTAAATTCAAGCGAATATTTCAGTTAAAATGATGAGTTTTGTGGGGATTTATGTTAATTTCACTGTAGATTTTGTCACAAAATAAAATCAGTTATAGAGTAATTAAAAACAAGGTGGTATTATACATCTGTTTCGTCCTAGTTAGGGTAGTCGTCATCGGTGCCTACACATGACTCCACCAGTGACAGAATTCAGGACCTTCAGATTACTAGGTCAGTCCATTGACCGTTCAATTACTGGGTTGCAGTTCGGTAACCGTCAGTGGCACCGGTTAGACCTGGAGGTGTATTGCGAACTGAAAGAAGTTACGACCCACTGATCACTGGATTCCAATACAGTTTCTGAGTGGTCAACGGACTGTTCTCGTAAACTGAAGGTACTGGATCAAACGTTTGATGTCTTCTTGCATGCTCACCGCTGAAGGACCTCAAAACGTCCGGTATTCCCCGGTTTTCAATGATTCGTAATGGTATCTAAAAATGAAATATTTTTGTGTCAATGGATCTACATTCAAAAATGTTTTCTTGTAAAATACGTTTATCAGTACATGGCTAGTTTGGATGATGTCATAAAATAAAAATTGATGACTCTGATGAACTAATGTCTCATTGACATTGTCATCCAATATCAAGCTGTTTGAAATGTATTTATCTTTGAATTCTATAGATGATGATAAACCCATCGATTATCTTTGGTTTTGTAATTACTTATTTAATTCCTAACTATGTAGATAAATGAGTGCTATGAAGATAGATTAGTGTCTGCACAAAAACATCAATGCAGGTCTTCATTTGTTAAGTAACAGAAATGAAAATCAAAGGATGCGTAACCGCTCATTCACATCTCCACTACTTCTGTGCATTAATCCACCACTGATCTAAACACCATGTAGCCGTTTAGCTCATTTGTAACTGTGGAGAGGCCAACCCTGGACTGGTCATCATTCTAGAGAGACTAAAAGATGTTGTAGATATAAAACGCCGCTGAGAACAAGCTGCATTCAGGAAAATCATATCATGTTCGGAACAAATACCAACTCTAAGCATCATCACTGAACGGAACATGGAGTGATAGTCAACTCACTATCTCAACTTCATTCACTTTGAAAACACCTCATTCAGAAACTATAGGATGACGCCACAGGTTGAGTGGTTCACGACGGGGGGACTAGTGAAGCTTTCCAAATGACGACAGAAGTAAGGCAACACTTCCTACAATCACTGACGATTATGGTGAACTACATCTTGCGACAAACCCAGGGGACCAAGAAGACGAGCATACGTTTGGCCAACAAGAAGACACTGGAAGATCCGGATTTCGAGGATGATTTATGTCTAATATTAAAAACATTCAAAGATCCATAGACGAAAACTAACAAGCTGTCAGAAGAGGCAGACAAGACAGGAATTTAAATAAGCATAAAGAAGACAGTGGCGATGAGGATACACAACCAGAAACAACACGCATCAATCAAAATCAACAGGAGAAGTCTAAAGGAAGCCAACCCTTTCACTTATCCGTCCTGCCAGCATCATTTCAACTACAACTGGCAGGGATAATGACTTCAAATACAGAGTCTAAAAAGCAAGAAAGACCTTCATTACTGTTAAATTAGTAAGAAAGTTTACTGGACTCTACATAAGTAACAAGATCCGAATCTTCAAAACCAATAAGAAGTAAGTGATTCAGTAAAGTTCAGAGATTTGATGAGCCACCACAAGCGTTTCCAACAGGCTCAACAGCTGCCTTCTCTGACTCGATAGTGAAGATTAAATGGCCAGTCGGCTGGAAAGGATAAGCAACAAGGAACTCTGGGAACGATCCAAACAAGAACCCATCGCCCATTAAGTATCCAGAAAGAAACAGAGATGGATCGAACATACTCTGAGAAGACCGTTGGGTGACATCACGTGTCAGATTCTCCAGCGGGCGCCGGACTAGAAAGGACAAGTTGGGCTTGAGGCCAAGGACAACATACAGAAGATTATTGGAAGGGGAAATGAAGACTTATAGGCAGTCGTGGAGCCAATTAAAAACTTTTTCGCCAGTACCTGAATCCCTGTTTTGCAATTGTAACGCGAGGATTGAATGACAATATAATAATAACAATATCAAAAGTATAAAGCTAAAACTTACTGATTTGTATCGTTTGACTCCAAATTAGTTTCTTCATGGGCTGAAACGTGATCAAGAGAATAATTTGTCATTTTTTAAAATAATATTTGCATACATATTTACGCTTTAATTATGATCTTAATCGCATGTTATAAACTCTTTGATTTCTTTAGCCTTCCTATAAAATATCTCATTTTCAAAGAACGATAGCTAAAATAAATCACACAACAGTCCTAAGTCAACCTCGAAGGAACTGGTCTCCTTCCTGAGAGAATTCAGTCAGCACCATGAACTAGGTAATATAACACGGGTTACTCTGTAGCGAACAATCAGTTTATCTCTTACCAGCTTACAGGAGCTTAAACGAAAACGAAATAACTTAATGCTAGCAATTTCGACTACAACTGTAATTTATGTGAGTTCAAATGTTAAAGAGGATATCTGTTTCCTAAAGAGGCAGTAGATATACCAAGATTCAAGGCTTCCCACCAACTGTCTCTTACCATCTCATATTCATATTCTTATTTAAAATATGTATATTCATTTCAAATAGTATTTGATGAATGCCTTGAAGTTTGTCAATGGTTCAGATATAGAATGCTGGTCAACAGTGGGTGAAGTCCTGGGTTTAGATTCCCGCAAATTCACTCTTTTACCTTGCATAACTGGTTGAATGCCCAGTAAAGAGGGAGGGTTGGGTGTGAGGCTAGCATTCCCACCCCTGTAAAAATGAACTCTACCGCTACTGCAGCTTCAAAGCTAAAGCATGAAATAGTATACTGCCCTTGGAAAGCGAAGGAATAAAATAAAAATAATAAATAATCTATAGTAGCTTGATAAATACCATAAAATATACATTCATCATTTCACTTTCAGAATTCTAGATATTAGTTTCAAATGGAATAATACAACTTTTAGATTTCCCCCTTCGATTGATTGAACTCAAGTTCTCGGTCTCAGGTTGACATGTCGGCTTCTTGTGCAGATGCTTCGATGATTTCTGGGCAAGTAATTAGGAGTCAATCAGTGAGTGGTGACTAGCAGTGGAATCCAGTCGGGATGCGCAATTTGTTCTATTTGGGACTCGTCATCTGGACTGAATTCGCATCCTGGATTCCACTGTTAGTTACCATCCACCAATTAACTTCTAATTACTCGGAATAATACACTGTCGAATAAACTGATCGCAACTGAGTCCTATCTGTATCCAGTTACATCTATTTACACTTTTCCTCTATTCTGTTGCAAAAGGGTTTGTAAGTCTCATTCAAGAATACTCTCAGATTTCTTAACACCTTACCGTATGTATATATATATATATATATGAATAGCTTACAGGGAATGCAATAGTGCTTCTTGCTGTGAAACACATTTTTCCTTGTGAAAAATTACCTATTTCACAGATAGTTCCTATTGGATTTACATGAGAATCACTTCCCTTGACATCTACTAGGCATTATCATCATTAACTGAGCAATGAAGCGAATAGCTAAACTTAAAATTTAATCAAAAAATCTACAAAGGTTAATTGCACCATTGTGTAAATGTACAACAAGGTATAGAAAATTTAATGTATTTCTACATTAGAGTTAAGTTGATTCTTACCTGATGAATCCACCAAATCTGTTGAATTAGAAGTCTCTATATGTGTTTCATTGGTAAATTCTTCCTCCTTAAGAGATAATGTATTTACGTCTTCGCTGTCTTCAGTAGCATTTACAGTAGTAGTCTGAAATAAAAGATAAAATCATTTGTTATAATTATTCCTATTTTCAGCTTATTTCCTTGATAATCATACACTTAATTCAAAAATAACCAACATTAACCCCAGCTAAATGCGGTGTGGTGAGAGCTGTCTGCAAGACAAAACTGTACACAAAACAAGTGACGTCAATGTTTGCGTCCCAAATCGGCGTCATGAGAAAAAAAAACAAGATCAAAGCCTAACCTTGAGGAATTCAACAACCAATCACAGCAGACTTAGTGTGGGCGGATACGATTCGCAGATATATCAACGGACTGTCTAAGAAACAGCAATACAGAGATGATAGAATAACCTTCAGCATAAAAATAACCAACCAGAAGACGTTGCTTGTCTGCTAATAATAACGAATAATAATGTACATAAAAATCTATAAATGTCTGCTGATTTTCTCAATAAACGATCTGTTGCCTCGCCCTTGTCTTCTCTGGTTACAACAGTACATTGGATAACTGGGAATATCGTATATCTGAATTAGTACTTGTGGAATAGTGCTTCGGTAATTTTCGTGGTAGAATGCTCAAGAACCATGGACGTGATCCGGGTTCAATTTCCGATCGCCTCAGATCTAAGCCTTGTTCAGCTGGTAGTAATCCCAGTTAAACAGGGAAAGTTGAATGTGAGGCTACCAACCCCATCCCGTGAAAAAACAAAAAATACCACTGCAACCTAAACTTCAGACCTCAAGCTTGAAACTCTGTGTTTCACTGAGAAAACAAACGAATAAAAAATACCTTGTAGAAAGGGTTTATTATAAAAAGAATAGCTTAACTATAAATGCTTCTTCTTCAGTTATCTCAATTATTGAAATTAAAAGTTACTATGTAGCGACAGAAGACAAAGAAGAGACAACACATCGTTTGTTGAAAAAATCAAGAGATATTAATAGATTTTTATGTACATAATTATTCGTTATTTCAGAGGAGGAGCAACGCCTTCTGATTGGTTTTTCTCGTTAAAGGTTATTCTGTACTGCTTGGGACCGTTGCTTACAAAGTTAAGCCATATATCTGCGAATCGTATTTTCACACGTTAAGTCTGCTGTGATTGACTGTTGAGTTCCTCAAGGTTAGGCTTTGTTCTTGTTTTTTCCTCACGACCCCGATTCGCGACGTAAACATAGAAATAAATTGTTGTTTACAGTTTTGGCTTGCAGACAGCTCTCATGACAACTATTTGCCACTCATTTGTGTTCATAGGTTTGCTTAGAACAAATATAGGCAACATAACATTTTATTATTATTTATTATTGTATCCTTTAGTTCCTAGAGGAACATAGGGCTTCAGCTGAGCACCTCCATTGCCTTCGGTTTTCTGACAACTTTTTCACCCCGCTTCAGGTCTGTCCACATGTTTTCATCTCCTCCTCGCATGACCTCCTCCAAGTCACCCTTGGACGACCAACTCGCCGCCTCCCTTTCGGGTTCCACTCGAGCAATGGCTTGTCTAGTGATGTCACTTGATGGTTTCCTCAGAGTATGGCCAATCCATCTCCATTTCTTTCTGCCTATTTGTTTCACAATCGGTTCCTGATTGGTTCGCTCCCAGAGATCCCTGTTGCTGATATTTTCTGGCCATCTAATCTTGAGTGAAGTATTGACCGAAGACAGTTGTTAATGAAGGTCTGAAGTTTGTTGGAGATGCTCTTTATGACTCGCCAAGTCTCTGATCCGTATAGTAGCACTGACTTTACATTGGAGTTTAAAATCCGGATCTTATTTTTGATGCTGAGTGCTGTTGACCTCCACACAGACTTAAGAGTAATGAAAGCTTGTCTTGCTTTTCCGATTCTGGCTTTGAGATCCTCGTCAGTTCCGCCTGTAGTTGAGACGATGCTTCCCAGGTAGGTGAAGGAGGTTGTTTCTTTCAGGTTCCTCCCATGTATGCTGAACCCAATACGAAATGTGAACACTTTATTCAGCCACAGATGGCCTAAAATATACTTAGTAATAATGAAATAAGAACATGCGCTTTTTTTTAATTCTGTTCGGTTGAAGTTTTGCTCCTGGATCGTAGTTTGGGGAAACAACACACTGAATGAAATATGATGGTATACTCAGTCAAAAATAACACGAAATGAAATTAGATATTTTTCACATAAGTTTGGAAGAATATTCGAGAAGCCTAAGACTCAAAGATCCCTAACCCCTTAAGGTCACCTTAAGATCATCTAATCAAGTCAGGACACAAAGTCGATATTCCAACTGCATTCACCATTATCAAAAAACCAAAAAGTTCAGTTCTACTTTGGTTTGCTGAATCTACTGCTATCAAGCAAATCAAAACCATTCTCAGTAGACGGAAAATAGTAGATATTAATTTCAGTCTACCCCGGTTTTTTTTTAATTTCTAACATAATTATGGACCGTCTTTCTTAGTATCCTCATTATTATTATTGTCGTCATTTTTATTACTGTTATCACTTTTTTCGACCCATCGATCTTAATTCCTTTAATTGATTTGAAATCACTTCTAAATGCATTGCTGTACATTGTTACGTAATCTTTTTCCCGTGTTTTGCTGTTTAACTAGTGTTTCGTTACTTTTTTTTCCTTCACGTTCCCAGTGGAATATAGGGCCTCAAGCTGGTGGCTTGAAGTTTCTCTAGCGGTGTTTATTTTACGGGATAGGGTTGCTAGCCTCATGCCCAACCTTTCCTCTTTACCAGCATTATTTCTGGCTTAGCGAGGTAAGGGAGTGCGTCAGCTGGGCCATGTGCATGGTCGGGGAGCGTCCTAACCGCTGTGCCACCGACGCACACAAAAACATTATCAGGGTGAGGCGCATGCATATAGTACACAGCCTTCTTCAAACCTTGCACACAACCATTCAGTGGCGTACTATCCCATCGCCCTTGGCAGATCTGGCAACAAAGGTCACGAGAACACACAGGTTAGGTACCCCTATTCTTTACTAAGCTTCTAGAATCTCCTTCCAAAGTTAAGATAAATAATCACTTTCTTTTCATAATATTTGTAACTGATTATGCCCTGACAATTCACCCATCGTTGTCTCCGTAAACTACTATCTTCCTGCCAAACTTCCGTTGAACGGAATAAAAAGATTGTATGTTCTTAATTCTTTAATACTATGTATATTTCAAGCTGTCCGCAGATGAAGAGATGACTTGAAATGAAATGTTCACATTTTATACTGCAAGTCTTATTCTTCCTGCTTTATCACAAAAATGATCAATGGAATACGTCATACGAGTCAAAAGTATCTCTGAAAGCTAAATCCTCTCGCTACAATGAATTCTCTGTGTATTTTAATTAGTTTTGACGTAATATTAGTTTGTGACGTAATGTAAATGACAATACAAAGAAACCATTCGTTGTGAATAAATATTCACTACCATGTAACACTGATTACAAAACTCTCCTACGCAAAAAAATTTGTGACATTCACACTTATACAAGTTGGAATCTTTCATTTACTTACACTAATTACATTGGTTTGTATTATAACAAACATTTCACTTATTAACAATTTAGTTTCACTTCAAAAATCTATAATTCATTTTTTGGCATTTCAATGATTACCCAACCGAAATCATTTTGATGACAGAAGTACATCTCTCAATAATTAGTCATCAGTTAATTTTCATGCCGTTAGTGTCAAGTCAGTGCTTCTGCATCGCATTTATTATTATCATTGCTCCCTTGGGTTCCTAGTGGAACATAGGGCTTCAACTGCACGTCTCCATTTGCTTCTGTCTTCTGCTGTACTTTTCGCCTGCATCCATGTTAATCCATCTTCTTTCAACTCCTCTTCACACGATCTCCTCCATGTCATCATTGGACGTCCCACACTCCGCTTCCCTTTCGTGTTCCACTCGAGGGCTTGACGCGCGATGTCACCCAGAGGTCTCCTCAGCGAGTGTCCGATCCATCTCTACTTTCTCGTGCATATTTGTTGGGCGATTGGTTCTTGCTTTGTTTGTTCCCATAATTCCTTGTTGGTGATTCTTTCCGGCCCGGCCATCTGATCTTCAGTATAGAGCCAGCGAAGGCAGTTGTTAATAAAGGTCTGCAACAGGCTGTTGGAAATATTCTTTGTGACCCGCCCACCAAGTTTCTGATCCGTATAGAAGAACTGACTGACTTGACGTTCGTATTGAAAATCCTACCGAATTTTGTTGTTGATGCTGGCTGAGTGACGAAGATTTCCAGATTGATTTCAGGTTGATGAATGTGTTTCTCGCCTTCCCGATTCTCGCTTGATTTGATATCCTCGACCGTTCCGACTTCCTGTAGTTGAGACAATGCTCTCTAGATAAGTGAATGAAGTAACCTCTTTCAAATCCCTCCTGTTGATGGTGATTGACGTTGGATGCTGTTGCTGTTGTTGGTTGGTTATTTTCATAACCTCCGTCTTGTCTATGTTTACCTGGAGTCCTGTCTTCGCCGGCTCCTTCTTTGACCAGTTTGTCGGTTTTCGCTTGTAAGTCTTCGATTGTGTGTGACATCAGCATTCATCGCATGCGATTCACCAAACCTGTTCCCAATAGCATGCTGAAGACTTTCATCAACACCTGTTTCCACTCGATAGTAATGATTAGATGACTAGCCAAATTTTTCTCTTCACTTTCTCAGTGGAACATAGGGCTTCAAGCTAGAGGCTTGAAGTTTCGGTAGCAGTGTTTTAATTTTACAGGATGGGGTTACCAGCCTCATGTCCAACCTTTCCTCTTTACTAGCTTTATTACTGGCTTAACGAAGTAAAGGAGTGCGTCAGCCGGGGATGGAACCCGGGACCATGTGCATGGTCGTTGAGCGTGCCACCAAGGCACGACTAGTTAGAAGAGGTCATCAATAAAGGAGCTCCAACAAAGAACCAACTAGAAACTTATGACTGGTCCAACAAATATGCAGAAGGAAATGAAGATACATTGGAACTGCACACTGTAGGAATCATTGAGTGATCTCACACTCTACTCAGGCCTTTGAATAGGAAGAGATGAGAGTGACATGGAGGAAATCGTGTGGAGAGGAAATGACAGATTACAGGCGGCCGTTGGAGACTACACAGAACAGAGTACAATAGAAATGTGCTATTGAAGACCCATGTATCACTCCAGGGGCACATAAAGGATAATAATAATAATAACAGTCTTCAGGTAAACACTTTCTAGATCATAACTCGATTATATCCACCTGTCAACTTTTAGCATTTTGCAATAAACAGCGATGATTACCCGATTTCAATCGATAAAAATTCTATTGACCCTACGGTACTAAATTACTGTGTAAGCAATTGGTCAGTACGATAGTAGGCAAACAAATATAATTTCCTAATGAAGGCTAAAATTTATATCTACATGATGGTTATACTACTGACTGATCACTGTGAGTAGTTGGAAACCGCCCACGTCAACCAATACGACTTAGCATGTAGATTTCGCAAGCTTATACCCGAGTTCAACAACGATGTACCAAGGTCGAAATTAGTTCAAAGAACTACTCGAATTCTGACTAGCTAATCAGACAAATTGTTAATGCATTCAGCCATCCAATAAGGATTAAAATAATTAAACTTCCAGCACTAACAGGATGTATGCGTTAATGGTTCATTAGTAGGATACTGGCCAACCACATGTACGTACGGTCTGGGATACGATCCCCGGCTGACTCACTCTTATTCTTCGCTTAGCCTGTTGCAAGCTCGGAATAGAGGAAAGGTTGGAAGCGTGAAGCCAGCAACCCCACACCGTAAAGCATTGAACCCCACTGTTACTGTAACTTTAATGCCCTATGTTCCACTGAGAACGCCAGGGAAGAGAAGAAAAACTATCAAGTTACAAAAAGTAAAAATGTGTACATGAACAAAGCACCAATTCAGTATAACTTACTATAATACTTGAATAATTTAAAAGTATTATCACCACGTGTATTGATAAAATCAATTTTTTATTCAACATTTTAAGTAAATTTGTAATTCCATCCACAAATTAAACGCCAGCTAACTATTATATATATATATATATATATATATATATATATAAAATGTATGTGTTAAACTTTTGTCTTTACTTTAAATAATTTGAATACATTTCAGTGATACACACAGCGATATGGCTATCTAGTTAGCTGTTAGTCGCGATATCTCGCTAACCGGTGTTTTATATAACATTAAATGTGAAATGTTAATCAATGAAACTGACCAGTTTGTTTATATTAAATATATATATATATATATATATATATATATATATATATATATATATAATTTGCTTAATAGAGAATAATATATTGTGTATACATGGACAGACACTGAATACAATTTATGTCCCCTGAAATTTTCACAAATCCACTTATATATTCTTGATTGATTGTACTAATAAGGTTAAATTAAACTCCGACTGAATAGAACTTCTTATGCAGTCACAAACACCAAATGAGAGAAAAAGACTTAAATAAATAAATCACATGACATTGGGCTGGTATCATTTTGGGGCTTTATCGTTGACAAGATGATATGTAAACGGGACATGCACACAGTTATGTATTTACTGGCAGAATTGTTTATTTGGTGAAATATTTTTTTTTTAAAAATTCACATTGAAACCCCCAATTTTTTGTCTTCATAATATGGTTTATAGATTTGTTCACAATTGGCTTTATTTTTCCTCTGTGCAACCTAATCTATTTCTCTGCTATAAGGTATTTTTCCAGAAGATATTATGAGTATACTACTGACAAGTTATTAGTAGTAAAGGTTTCAGTAACTTCAAAATATATCCCTATAGGTAACAAGCCTTCGCTAGCCTCATACTGAAGATCAGATGGCAGTCCAGAAGGATTCTGAGAACGAACCAGTTAAGAACTAATTGCTCACCATTTAAGCTGAAGAAAATGAAGATAGATTGGATACATGATGAGGAGACCTCTGAGGAACAATGCGTATCAGACGGGGCCTCGAATGGAGTCTGAAAGAGGAATGAAGAGTTGGGTGTAGATCCGACGGTGATATGAAGTAGATTTTGTAATGAAGAGAAGAGAGCTATGAGAAATCCTGGAGCTAGCTAAAGACGACTGCGAAAAAGAATGAAAGAGAGGTGTGCTTTTGAAGCCTTATGTTCCACTTGGAACCTAAGGGATTAATAATAGGTAGCGAGAAGTCCATTCGTATTAAAATTGTTCTGAAATGAATAATCTTTTCCACTGGCATATCTATTTCATAATGATTTAGTAATAATTTTTCATGAAAAGAAAACCTCTAGGACTAGGATGTGGTAGACTAATGTTCTTTGATTGGACAGTAACAGGTGTCATATGTCTAGTCCTTTTTTGCTACAGACTGAATTCTATCAGACAATTTTCCAAGGTGACCACAATGCCATGTGGCTCACCATCACAGTGAACTTTGAATTGTTGTTATTAGATGGTTAGAGATAATCGATAGGAAGTCTTGGACTTAGATTTTCCGCTTATTGACACTCGTCTGCAACTATCTAGTAACAACTTCTCAGAATGCACTTTGTCAAGCCATGTAGCATGTTGGCTACATTGTGCACTTGACTGATACAATTCAGTCTGCACCAAACGAAGTACTAAACATATAATACCAGTTAATTAGTGTTCAATCAAAGTATTCAATACAGTCCTACAGGAGGATCCTGAATAGCTCAGTGGTCACGTGTCTGACTACTCAACTGGGTGGGTGACAAGGGTTCGAATTTCAGAAGAGGCGCTGGTTCCTTCAAGATTGCAGATACGCCTTACTGACAAGTGCTAACAGGTACGAAACCGAGGTGGTCCAAAGCTTTCTGATGATTACCCCTAACTATCTAATAACAACAATCCTGAGACTAATGTTCTGTTGGAGCTTAACACTTATCAATCGTTAACTCACTCAGAGACTGTACTCACGTCTTACGGTTGTTATGGCATCATTTTTCTCACCAATGTGAAATCAATTAGTCTCTGTTTTCAGAAGTTAGTTTTTAGGGATTTGATTTGTTATAAGGCTGACCACGGACCGATATCAATCTGTACTTTCCCGACAGGATTTTGTCTGAACTCAGTAGCTTGGAACAAATTTTCCACGCACTAGGCTATGAGCTACAAGCATCGTGCGAGGCCTGATATTGTCCAGATTGAAATAAGTGGAATGGGACTCGAGACCGTAACTCATTGGTTGATAGCCAAGTGTTTAAATCAGTAAGTCGAATTTGAATGTGTATCAAAGAAAAAGAACCAATTTATCTGTTCTGATTCTATCTGATCACGTATCCCTGAACTACAGCGGAATATTTATCAAAGATCTTCTGCCGTAGACGAATCGCCTCCCAACTAATGTCAGAGATTCCCCGAATATGTCAGTTTCGTCTCACAGATACATGTATATCAAATGAACTGGAAATGTCTTATAAATGCCAACGAAGTACTGACAGAAGTGTGAGTGAAGTGAAGGCTAACTGTAAGCGAATTTAAAGGCAGTATTAATCATCTGACTTTTAACCAATGGGTACTGAATTTCAATGCCACCTCATCTACTTCATCTTGGACAAATAAGTAGTATTATGAACCATCACATAATAAGTGTTTCTAGTAGTGTGATACATTGGAAATGAGTTACAGGCAACTGTTTGTTTATTATCTGAGTAATTCTGATTCATTGAATGGCATCTTTTTAATAAATGAACTTGTAATGCACCGAAATACGACTAGGTTTGGAATAAATAGAATTAACTGAAATTACCAAATATTAATTAGCTAAATAAACTGCTAATTAGACTGTGGATATGTGAAGAGTCTTAGGTGTACATTAAAGTTTACATTAAAGCAGATTACGATGTAAATTCGCATCTCTTGACTGTTGATTGTGCGTTAGTAGCACAACGGTAGAATGCTTGTCAATCAAGCCTCATATGGTTTGGGGTTCAGTCTCTGGCCGATGCACTCATTTACCTCGTTAAGCCAGTAAAGAGGGAAGGTTGGGCATGAGACTAGCAACCCCATCCCGTAAAAATAAACACCAGTGCTACCGAAACTTGAATCTTCTAGCCTGAAGCCCTACGGTCCACTGGGAATGGAAATGTATAGAAAAAAATGGAGTGCTGACTATCCCTCACAGTCTAAAAATCTCTAGTTGAGACGTTGCTAGTTGGACAGGTTGATAAAATCCTCCCAACTCCCTGAAACAAAATCGTAACGTCTTCTGTGTGTTAAGTAGATTGCTCATAAATATACAATCCTAGATAATTTAGTCCTTCGATTTTGTATTTCACTATCCTTAGTTTCAGATCAAATGATCTACAGTTTTGGATTCACTAATGAGGTGCTACCAAATAACGGTGCATAGAGTATTTACACACCAGTGTGAAAAACCTTCCAGAATGAATCCATACCTGTTTATATTTTCGTGATGTAAACAATTCAACCTACTCTTTCTTTCCATTTTTTCGCAAAATAAAATTTTAAAACTTTTCATCCAAGTTTGTTAACTGCAGCTGACAATAAAACTTAAGGAATGTATTGCCAAATACTTTCAATAAGCATCATTGTTAGCTTGTATATCACTAAAAGTGAGAACATAAAACTGCTTTTGATGTAGTTGTGTTCTCTAGTCTGGATGGTTTATGTGTGAAGCTTTCATTGCCCTACGAGACAGCATCTTCATCACATACTTCAATTTTATTAGGGAGCTTTCAGATTTCTCCACGAGTTTATTAGTCATCTACCTGATGGGTGACCTAGAAAGTGATTGGTTGTTTTTGTTTGTTTTCACACCCTCTAGATTATTTGTATTGGTATTGGTGCTGATTGTTTCTTTGACCTGGAGTTTGACCCTTTGTGTGTGAGATTTCCTTCTTATCGATCGATTAATTTTGTCTATCTCGGTATGTCTATTGAATGACAGTTCACTGGAATACCAGGTTTCTAAACATCCTAGCTCTAGCATTCTTGGTGTTTCCTCTATCCAATGCTTGAACATTGTCCCAGTCGAATTGATGTCCGTGGTCGTCTGTATGTAGTGATATGAAGGAGTGGATGTCATATCTTTTGACGGCTAGTTTATGACCATGGATACGAAAACAGAGGGAACGTCCAATTTTGCCAGTGTACTGTTTTTGTCGCAGTGATTACAATTTATGTTGTAGATGATATTGATTTTATCTTCTTCCGTTGTTGAGTCTTTTGGTTGACATACAGCTGAGCGCTGAGATGTGGATCGTAATTTACCTTTTGTTAGAGATTTCGTATTCTCTATTACTCGTCAGGAAAACATGTCTACAAACCTTCGTAGAAGTGATGTCATTACAGAGATTCGAACCCGCATCATCTTGTGTTGTTCATTTACTGTATATGTTCCGAGCTATTCGGCGGGAAACTATGAACTTAATTTTCATGTTTGATGGTAAAGTATTAGATACTGTCTCGCTAAGGAATACTAACAAGGAACAGTTCCTACTAATTTACTCCTGATATATATATATATATATGTCCCATTTAAAATAGCTCTTTCTTATATGATAAACCCAACTAAAGTGTGTGAGATAACTGGTGAACATTCCCATCAAATTTGCATCTTATAAACAAAGCAGAATTACTTTAGATGCTGCTGCTATCTTACATCATAACGTTGTTTCCTCCTTGGAGAAAAGAGCCAAATATATATTTTGTATCTACCTTGATTACACATCTACTTTTGATTATGTAACCAGATGCCTTTTCCTAAATAAGCTTTAACTGACAGAAACCCACTCTTGAGCTGTTTACTGGATGTATTCTTGTTCCTCTAACTGAATGCAGTATACTATAAATAAAGGTGTATCTTCCTCTGACTTGCTTATTAAAACTGGAGTCCCTCAGGGTGCTGTCCTGTCTGTTTTCTTTTTTTTCTTTCCTGTTACATGACCTATTTCTCCCAGATAAAATCCACTTCGTCAAGTACGCTGATGATTTGGCTGTCTCG